GCTCCTTTGTGGACTGATGAAATCAGAGCCCAGAACCCTTTAGGACAATGCAGAGGATATGGCTGTTTGAACAGTGAACCAAGAATAAGCACATTAAAAGGCAAGATAAACCGGGCATAGTGGTACACACTTGTTATCCCAGCATCTTGGGAGGCTGATACAGGAGGACCGCAAGTTCAAAGCCAGCCTCAGCAATGGCGAGGCTCTAAGCAACTCAGTGAGACCCTGTCTCTAATAAAACACCAAATAAGGCCAGGGTTGTGGCTCAGTGGTTAAGTGCCCTGGGTTCAATCCCTGGTTCAAAAAAAAAAAAAAAGGCAAGATAAAATATTTACCTGGTCTCAAGGCACTGGACTTTTCGGCTCCACTAGAAGAGCAGTTCTGGGAGGAAAAGGAGAGGCTTCCTGGAAGGAGTGGGAGACAAATATGGAGAAAGTGCAGATGATGGGTGCAGCTTTGGATTTAACTTGAGAGACCAAAGAGAGATGGGCCTGAAGAGTGGGACTGATGCCAACCTAAGTCTTATTTGGCCTCCTGCCCAGGTCTGTGTCTAACTCACCAATCAGAGACAGAGCCCTTGTTCCACCCATCGTGGGTCATTTCCCACACACTATCTCTTCTACACACTTGCCTGGGATGTTCTGTTGTCCTGGGCCTCAGAAAGAGGCTGTTACAAGTACTCCCTCTAATAGGCAGAAAAGATGGATCCCTTTATCTCCTGGCAAAAGCACTTTGCTTTGACTTCCCAGTGTTCCCTGCATAGAAGCTGCACAAAGCCTGTGCATTCTAGAGGAAAATTCCATTGGTGCCTTCTAGATACCAATGTGTCTTCTTGGCATAATCCAATCTCCTTAATATTCTGTAATAAATCTGAAATATCCTGACAGTAAATTTCACTGCCAACAACTCCATTCTCTGGCTTACGTGGTGCTGCAGTGTATGTCATCGTGGGGCTCTCCTTAGGCTCAGAGAGGGGGACAGATGTCATGTCCTTCAGAATTTGTTTTATTTGACCAGTATTTACACATCACTGACCAGGTACCAGGCACTATTCTTAGTGATTTCCTATTATATTAACTCATTTTTAAAATTCCTTTAATCTTCCCAATGATTGCCATGAGGTATTGTTATTTCCATTTGGCAGAGAGGTTCAATAATTTGCTTGGTGGTGCACAGCTAATAATTGGCAGAATTGAAATTTAGACCTAGTAGGGGGATTCTAGAGTCCTTGCTTTTTACCACTGACCTCTGCTGTCTCTATGGTACCTGAATGACCCCTGGTGGATATTTGTTAGCATTTTGAGAAGGACATAAGTAAGGCTCAAGGCAAGCCAAGGGCTGATAAGATGTGGAGAGTGACTGTAAAAGGAAACTTACATTGCAGTATGGCTTGGATATGAGATGTCTGCCAAAAACTCCTGTGTTAATGCAGGAAGGAATGTTCAGAGGTGAAATATTTTGATTGGGAGGGCTGAACCTAATCAGTCTGTTTGAATGGACTGGGTTGTAACTGTAGGCAGGTAGGGCATGGCTGGAGGAGGAGGGTCACTAGGGCTAGGCCCTAGAAGGTTTCCTCTTTCCTGCATCCCCTTCCCCCTTCCCTCTTTGCTTCCTGGCTGCCTTGAACTGAGCAGCACTCCTCTGCCACGCTCTTCTGCCATTATATCAGCTTTACCTTGGGCCCAGAACCGTGGATTCAGCTCCACCATGCACTGAACCTCTGGAACCACGAACCAAAATAAACTTCCCCTCCTCTGTTGTTCGTGTTGGGTAATTTTGGTCACAGCAAAGCAAAAGCTGACTAACACAGCAGGGGAGGGAAATTCTGGCATGTGAGATTCCTTCTCTCCCACTTAAGCAAGTGCCAGCCTTGGTTTGTGCTAAACCATATTCTCTGCCCACTGAAAGTGCTTGTCATTGCCTCCTTTCTGCCGCCCATGAGTCTAGATTTTTTTTTTTTGAGACCATATTTTTAAGTAAGTATTTATAAAGGAGTTTTTGCCAACATTATCTCTACAATTTCCTCCAAATAAACTCTTCCCCCGCGTCAACTGCCTACCAGGCATTTTCCTTAATAAAAAATGCAAAGGCTTTAACCAGCACACATCAATCAGTATACTGCATTGCTAAGCTGTAGATGTATTGAATGCATGTTCAGCTTACAGTATTTTCAATTTATGATGAGTTTACATGGATGTAACTCCATTATAAATTGAGGAGAAACTGAACCTAATTTCATGGAATTTCCCAAACAACTGCAAAGAAGACATCAGTCTTCATTTGATAGAAAAGGGAGGCACAAGTAACATGAGTTCTAAAGACTTATTGTACCTTATTTGCATTCACCCGGGAATATGACTTTTTTTTTTTTTTTGCAGTACTTAGGATAGAACCCAGGAGTGCTCTACCACTGAGTTACATTTCTGCTTTTTTTATTTTGAAATTTCACTAAATTGCCCAGGTTGTCCTCAAACTTGCAAAGTTCCTGCCTCAGCCTCCAGAGTTACGGGGATTATAGATGTGTGCCACTGCAACCAAATGGTTTATAACTTCTTCTTTTTTTTTTCTTTATTTAATTTATTTATTTATATGTGGTGTTGAGGATCGAACCCAGGCCTTGCACGTGCTAGGCAAGTGCTCTACTGCCTGAGCCACAACCCCAGCCCAGAATATAACTTCTTTATCTCCCAGTTAACAATGATTATGTCTTTCCCATCTCCCTCCTTATCATATTACAGACTCAGTGAGTTTTTCAAAGGGTTTCCTCCCCTGTATTCGTTTGGGACATCAAACGGCTAAGATGATGAAATACTGTAGTGATATAACATATGTGCCTCAAAACCTGTGGATTGCAACTTTTCAGTGAACTTTTATGATCATAGTGATTGCTGAGATCAATAGAGCACACACTGAGGCTAGCACTGACCTAAATGCTTGACATGCATTATCTTTTTTTTTTAAACTGAGAATTGAATGTTTTACCACTGAGCTACATCCCCAGTCCTTTTTATTTTGAAACAGATTCTTGCTAAATTGCTTATGGCCTCACTAAATTGCTGAGACTAGCCTCAAACTTGCAATTCTCCTGTCTCAGTCTCACAAGTCGCTGGGATTACAGGAATGCAATACCGTGCCCAGAAGCATGCATTTTTTTTTTTAAAGAGAGAGTGAGAGAGGGAGAGAGAGAGAGAAATAATTTTAATATTTATTTTTTAGTTATCGGTGGACACAACATCTTTGTATGTGGTGCTGAGTATCGAACCCGGGCCGCACGCATGCCAGGCAAGCGCGCTACCGCTTGAGCCACATCCCAGCCCCAAGCATGCATTATTTTATTTACTCTTCACAACCACAGTAAGAGGTAGGTATTATCATTGATATATTACAGATGAAGGAAAAGGCTAGAGAAGTAACAGAACTTACTCAGGATCACATAGCTATTAGGTGATGGAATCTGGATTCAAACCCAGGAAATTGGTCAGAAATTTTGAACTGCTGCAGAAGACCACATGACTTCTTCTAAGAGAAGTGTGATCAGTATTATGCACATTTTATTACCTTTAAAATTTTATTATGTAATATTTTAGATAGAAAAAGGTACATTATGCACAATGTTTCATTAGTGCAATATATAGATGTATGTTTGGCATACACACACACACACACACACACACATATATATATATATATATATATATATATATATATATATAATAGTTTTGTGCCACTTAATGACATGGGTATGTTTTAAGAAATGTGTTAGGTTATTTTATAATTGTGCAAACATTATAGAGTGTGTTATCACAAACCTAGATAGTATAGCCTACTAGGGAATGTAGCTCAGTGGTAGAGTGCTTGTCCAGCATGCACCAGGCCCTGGGTTCAATCCCCAGCACTGCCTCCCACCACCACCAAAAGAAAAAAAAAAAAAAGAATCACCTACTATATACCTGAGCTATAGGTAAAGCCACTGTGCTATATGCAGTCCATCATTGACCAAAATGTTGTTATGTGGGAAATTACTATATATCTATTTCCCAGTGTGTGCCAAGCATTAGGATGTAGTAACAAATTACCCCAGATGAAGAGGGTCAGGAGAAAGTTTAAGGCAATGTTAGAAAAATCAGTTACAGTTTATTATCCATTTCCACTTATGTGTCTAGCATTATCCTAGTCAAGAGAAGTATTAGAAGACCCTGCCATAAAATAAACCACATAGCCTAATGTGGTGGCTGCACCTGTAATCCCAGCCGTTCGGCAGACTAGGACTGGAGGATCACAGGTTCAAAGCCAGCCTCAGCAACTTAAGCAAAAAGCTTAAGTTTTTTGTAAGAAAACTTAAGCAAAAAGGTGGGGGCTCAGGGGATGTTGTCGGTGGTTAGCGCCCTTGGATTCAATCATTCCCGGTACCAAATAAAATAAGCCGCATAGAGGAAAGTCACTTAGTTTTGTTACCAAAAAAAAAAAAAAAAATTGGTCTCTTTTTTTGTTTTTTGTTTTTGGGTTTTTTTTTTTGTACTGAAGATTGAACCCCAGCCTGTTTCTCATTTTTTAAATTTTGAGACAGGGTTTTGCTAAATTGTTCAGGACCTCCTTAAATTGCCCAGACTGGCTTTGAATTTGTGATTCTCCTGCCTCAGCTTCTTGAGAGGCTGGGATTACTGGTATGAGCCACCGCGCCTGGCCAATTGGTCTGTTTGTACAGCATAAAAACTAACATTTTATAATCGTATCTTATAGACATAAAGGCAAAAAGCAGGTACAGTGATGAGCTCTGGGTGGTGTACAGGGCCAGACCTTGGGAGCCAGTCATCCCATTTAATCAAGTATCTTCTGAAGGATATGTCTAATAAGATGGGGATACACTTAAAAACCAGGTAGGCAGGTTGCTGCCCTCCTGGGGCCTATCGTCTGGTGAGAACCCTGCTCTGAGTCATTGACAAGCTCTAGCTATGTGACCTTGGATAAGAAAATTCTCCGCTCCCAATTCTGTAAAATATATGGGGTTAAACCAGGGAATCTGGTACTCAAATCCGGTGACCAAAGAGTATCGCTGGCTGCTGTATTCATATAGGGGTGGGTTAGGCTCCCTGTCCCTGCGCTACCGCAAGCCTGACGGCGGGGGCGCTGTGCAGGCATGCAGAGCGTTTGCGTTCCGAAAGCGCGTGTCCCTCGCCGCATGCCGTCGTTCGCGCGGCCGCCACCGCCCGCGGAGCGGGAGGGGCGGAGCTGGCTCTGTCCGGGCTCCCGAGCGGGGAGGCTGCCCAGGAGGAGGTGCGGCGGGTCCCAGCGGCCGAGGTTCGGGCGGAGCGACTGGAGAGGCTGGCAGGTGGTGCTGGCAGCGTGGGGAGAGTGGCGCCGTGGGCTGGGCGCTCTTGGCCGGAGGAGTTCACTCCATGCGTGCGGGCCAAGCACGGCCCCTGCGAGCCGTCGACATGAAGAAAGACGTGCGGATCCTGCTGGTGGGAGAACGTGAGTCCGCGCGCCCGGGCTGGCCGCGGCCGCCCTTGTCCTTCTCTTGCCTCAGCCTTGACCCTCCTCGCCCCTCGCAGCTCGGCTGCCTCTCTGTGCCACCAGGCCTCCCAGCTCCTTCTCTCTTCCCTTTCGGCTACGCGCCGGCGGCCCTTATCCTCTCACCGCACCCGGGCCCTCCCCAGATCTCCCTTTCGTGTCCCCAATGCTCCTCGCAAGCCTCGTCTCCTTTATCCCCTAACGCCCGACCTCATCCCTCCGAAGGTCCTCTCATCCTGCTCCTCCTCGCGTCCTTTCCTCCTGGGCCTCAGCGCTTCCCAGGCCGCCTCCTTTCACCCTCTCTTCTTCTGTGGAGATTCCCTTGTCAGTCACTGCCTGGCAGATGCTGGAACAGCAGCCTAACCAATTGGGATTGCGGGAGCCGACTCCCGCGGAAGCTAGGGGGAGGGGTGCAGAACTATGCCACTTGGGGGCAAGGTCAGGTCTCTCTCTCTCTCTCTCTCTCTCTCTCTCTCTCTCTCTCTCTCTCTCTCTCTCCCTCTCCCTCCTTTTTGCGCTCGCTGGCGGTCCTCGCTTTCTCGGTGCGTTGACTCAGAGCGTTGGGCTGTAGTCTAGCTTGGTGGTAGAGCACTTGCCTAACCTGCGCCAGGTCCGGGTGTTCGATCCCTAAGGCCGGGTGGTGGCGGCGGAGGAGGCGTTTCGTAGCGATCCTTGTGCTTTGTATGGGAGTAACTCCTGGTACTGGACATTTACTTTCAACTTCACGTTATCCAAGTACTCAATTAGTAATAATTATCTGGGGAGAGTCCGTTAGTTGAGTCAATGATAGTTACCCTAAAACCTAATTCTTCCTACTTTTTTAACCATTCTTTATTCCACGACTACTTGGTAGTTAATTTATAAATATCAGCAGGCATACAAGACTCCAGCAGGTATATAAACACACAAGACCCGCTCCTTACCCCAACCCCGCGAGATTCTAAGATTTCACTTTTTGCCGATATAATAAAGGAGAGATGCTTCTGCTCGGTGACATATAGATAGAACAGCAGGGACTTTTCTTATTTTTACTTTTTTTTTTTTTTTTTTTTTTTGGTATTAGGGTAAACCCAGGGGCACTCAACCACTGAACCACATCCCCAGCCCTTTTAGAGACAGGGTCTCGCCGAGTTACATAGGGCCTGGCTAAATTGCTGAGGCTGGCTTTGAGAACTCACGATCCTCCTGCCTCAGCCTCGGGAGCTGCTGGGATTACAGGCATGTGCCACGATGTCCAGCAGCAGGGACTTCTTAATACCATTGTGTCAGTTACATCACTCAATTGCCAGGATTAAAATATAAAGAAAGTAGGCTAGGGAGGGCTGGAGTTGTTTGGTTTTGAATCATTAATTAATGCTCCATTGCTGTTTTTTTAAACAGGGATTGAACTCAGGGGTGCTTAGCCAGTGAGCTACACCCCCAGCACTTTTTATTTTTTATTTTGAGACAGGGTTTCACCAAGTTGCTAGGGCCTCGCTAAATTGCTGAGGCTGGTTTTGAACTCATGATCTCCTGCTGAGCCTCTGGGATTACAGGTGTGTGCCATTGCATCTGGCTGCCATTGCTGATTTTAAGCATTTTTTTTTTCCCTAAACTACGTTACATATTTGAGGTCTCTGCTATGTGCTCTGGAAAGTTAACATATTTTTACTCTCTGAATTGTTTGTTGAAATTTCTGTTCATCTGCTGTTTGGAGATATCTTCCTTTAGAATCAGAATTTGGAAGCAAGCTTAGCCATAGTTTATGTTTAGTTTGCAGTTAATGAATTTTAAGTTATAACTGTATTTAATTGTATTTTTCATGGATTTTCTTGATAAATTTCAGAAAGGTGTTATTTAACATGATTCATGAAGATGCATTTGGAGCAAGATTAGAGAAAGTGGGTGACTTGCTTAGAAAGCCGATCCTTAACTGTATCTTGAAATGGGTTTATAGTACAGTAATTTTTATGCTAATTTTTAGAAAAAGAAAACTCTGGTTGGGGATGTAGCTCAATGGTAGAGTGCTTGCCTTGCATGCTATCATCTACAAGGCCTTGGGTTCAGTCCCCAGCTCTGGGGGAAAAAAGATCCTAGGTTTAGTTTTGAATATAGGAAGCAATTCCACATTGTTGGTATATAAAAGATCTAAATAGAAATGTTGCCAATAGGGGCGGGGGTTGTGGCTCAGTGGTAGTTGCTGACCTAGCAGTGGGAGGCCCTGGGTTTGATCCTCAGCACCACATAAAAATGAATAAATAAATAAAATAAAGGTATTATGTCCATCTACAACTAAAAAAAAAATAAATATTACAAAAAAAGTTGTCAATATGTAAGATACATCATCAGCCTTCAGACATTTTGGTTAAAACATTAAAGGTGTTGTTTATTTAGAAATATGTAAAATAGGGACTGGGGTGGTAGGTCAGTGGTAGAGTGCTTACCTCCCATACGTGAGGCACTGGGTTCGGTTCTCAGCACCACATATAAATATATAAATAAAATAAAGGTCCATCAACAACAAAAGAATATTTAAAAAAGGAAATATGTAAAGTAATTCAAATATTTGTTACAAAAATCACAAGCTGTATTCTGTAGAAATGAAAGCAAGTAAAAGAGTTGATAAAACTATATATTAGAGTTTTCTGATTACAGGGGGAAACTTGACACAAGACAAAGTCTTGTGTTTTGAAGGTGATACTTAAAGAGGTTGAAACCAAAAGCTTTAGGTCATCTACTATAAATAAATAAATAAATGTAAATATTCATTTTTGAAATATTAGAAATAGAGTACATTTAATTAAAGTATATAATTTTATTTAGTCATTAAAAAAGCTGATGTTTGGGGGGAAATATTTGAGACTTTATTTTTGGAGATTTAAAGTAAGTATCTGTCAGTTGTTAGCTCTTTAAGTGTGACCAAAGCTATTTTAATATGGATCTGATACATGGATTTATCTATACTACTAATATTAGAAAACAGTGGTAGCAATTTGAATTATCACTTGCTTACTTAAGTGAGCATAGTTTTCAGATGCCAAGGCGAACAGAAAAGTAAAGAAAATGGAGCATCCTCTCTGGTATTATTGTTTTAAAGCTTGTTCTTTCATTCTGTATCACTTTGTTACATTTTATTGCTGTCAGTTTCTGTCCCTGAACCGTGCAGTAGCAGCTTCATTCACTGAAGTTCTGAAATAGTTATGAGTACTTTCAACATTCTATTAGCTAAACCATTCTACTGTACTGTTGAGGTGCAATGGATCTTTTTTTGGCCCACTTCTGATTTATCTAGGCTTTAATGCTAATTGCTTAATGTTTATTTAGCTTAGATCAAAGAAGTTTGTCTCTCTATACATTTTAGGTATTTGTTACAGAGAAAGTGAAAGTGTCTTAAATGTAATATGTATCTTAGCTTAATTATTGAACATAGCAAATGCTATTCAGACCAGACCAGAAGTCAATTACTATTTTTAAGCCAAAATAAAAATTTAAAAATCTTTAAAAATACACTCACACAGAACTCAGTTCTTCAGGGCATAATTTTTCATGGTCAATTTGTTGGCTAGAATTTATGCTTAACTAGATTTGCTTTAGTATACTTAACAGGTATCCTTGTTACAGTAGAATTAGCAAGCACTGTATTACCCTTTTATCTAAATCATGTTGCTACATTAGTAGATTAATGAAAGCTTGAGATATATTTGTCTTCTACTGGTAAAAGTCATTAAGAAAATGGAACTGTTATTTTGTTTTCCAAAGAATCTGGTACCTCTAACCTGGTTTGTCTTACCTAATTTATCTCCCCAACTTCCCAAACTAGTTCAAGCTTCAGTTGTTGTGGCCTAGACTTTTGCAATATCTCCTTAACTGGTCTCCCTCCTACTTTTGTCCATTCTCCGTGAAGCAGGCAGAATCACCTTCAAAAAAAATCTCAGATCTTGTTACCCATTTTAAAAATTCTACTTTCACTTAAAGCCCAGACTTTTTAAATGCAGGTCTCCGAGACTCTTAACAATCTTGCCTTTGCTTCACTCTCATGCTACTCTCCTTCATTGATTTCTCTACAAGTAGGCCCTGATTTGGGAAATATCCTCATTACCGAATGTATTTACTCATTTGCTTTCCTGTTTCTCGAAAGAAAGCTTCTTGAAGGCATGGGATTTGTCTTATTTGTTCCTCTCTCTCCAGCAGCTAGAACAGACTTGGCACAAAGTAAGCATTCAAGTGTCTGTTGAATGAGTTCCTTTTTCCAAATGACTCCTCTCATTCATAAAAATGTGATCATTCCCCTTTTCTCTCTTTTTAAAAAAATTTTATACTTTTATTAGTGCATTATAGTTGTACATAATTGTGGGGTTCTTTGTGACATATTCATACGTGCATGTACCATAATTTGCTCTATTTCATTCCCGCATACTTCCCCTTTCCCTCCTTCTCATCTCCTTCCTCAATTCTACTGGTTTTCCTTCTATTTATTTATTAATTTATTTTTAATTGGTGCATTATAATTATTCATAGAATGGGATTCATTGTGATACATTTATACATGCACATAGAATAAATAATTTGGTTGATTTCATTTCACAGTCTCTCCCCTTTCCCACCCTTCCTCTACTGGTCTCCATTCTATTTTCATGAGATCCCCTTTTGAAAATTCCTAATTTCCCTTTAGCTTCTGCATCATTCTCCTTTCTTAAATCCAGGCTCATGTAGTCATTGTTATGATATGAAGGAGTAGCATTCTTCCAATTCTCTCCTTTTGTGTCCTTAGCTCATGTGTGTGTGTCCCCATCCCATGTGATGCTGGGGATTGAACTCAGGGCTTTGAGCATGCTAGGCAAGTGCTCTACCACTGTGCTACATCCCAGCTCCTTAGAGTTGCTTGGGGCTGGAGTTGTGGCTCAGTGGTAGAGCACTTGCCTGTCATGTGGGAGGCACTGGGAGATTTCTGTGTTCTGGCAGTAAAAGTAGACCAGTGAGTT